GTATACATGCACCCAACATAGGAGCACCTCAATACATAAGGCAACTGCTAACAACTATAAAAGAGGAAATCGACAGTAACACAATAATAGTGGGGGACTTTAACACCTCACTTACACCATTGGACAGATCAACCAAACAGAAAATTAATAAGGAAACGCAAGCTTTAAATGACACAATAGACCAGATAGGTTTAATGGATATTTATAGGACATTCCATCCAAAAACAGCAGATTACACTTTCTTCTCAAGTGTGCATAGAACATTCTCCAGGATAGATCACATCTTGGGTCACAAATCAAGCCTCAGTAAATTTAAGAAAACTGAAATCATATCAAGCATCTTTTCTGACCACAACGCTATGAGATTAGAAATGAATTACAGGGAAAAAGTCGTAAAAAACACAAACAGGGAGGCTGAACAATACGTTACTAAATAACCAACAGATCACTGAAGAAATCAAAAAGGAAATCAAAAAATACCTAGAGACAAATGATAATGAAAACACAATGATCCAAAACCTATGGGATGCAGCAAAAGCAGTTCTAAGAGGGAAGTTTATAGCTAAAGCCTACCTCAAGAAACAAGAAAAATCTCAACTAAACAATCTAACCTTACACCTAAAGAAACTAGAGAAAGAAGAACAAACAAAACCCAAAGTTAGCAGAAGGAAAGAAATCATAAAAATCAGATCAGAAATAAATGAAATAGAAACAAAGAAAACAATAGCAAAGATCAATAAAACTAAAAGCTGGTTCTTTGAGAAGATAAACAAAATTGATAAACCATTAGCCAGACTCATCAAGAAAAAGAGGGAGAGAACTCAAATCAATAAAATTAGAAATGAAAAAGGAGAAGTTACAACAGACACCAAAGAAATACAAAGCATCCTAAGAGACTACTACAAGCAACTCTATGCCAATAAAATGGACAACCTGGAAGAAATGGGCAAATTCTTAGAAAGGTATAACCTTCCAAGACTGAACCAAGAAGAAATAGAAAATATAAACAGACCAATCACAGGCACTGAAATTGAAACTGTGATTAAAAATCTTCCAACAAGCAAAAGTCCAGGACCAGATGGCTTCACAGGTGAATTCTATCAAACATTTAGAGAAGAGCTAACACCCATCCTTCTCAAACTCTTCCAAAATATAGCAGAGGGAGGAACACTCCCAAGCTCATTCTATGAGGCCACCATCACCCTGATACCAAAACCAGACAAAGATACTACAAAAAAAAGAAAATTACAGACCAATATCACTGATGAATATAGATGCAAAAATCCTCAACAAAATACCAGCAAACAGAATCCAACAACACATTAAAAGGATCATACACCATGTTCAAGTGGGATTTATCCCAGGGATGCAAGGATTCTTCAATATATGTAAATCAGTCAATGTGATACACCATATTAATAAATTGAAGGAGAAAAACCATATGATCACCTCAATAGATGCAGAAAAAGCTTTTGACAAAATTCAACACTCATCTGTGATAAAAACTCTCCAGAAAATGGGCACAGAGGGAACCTACTTCAACATAATAAAGGCCATATACGACAAACCCACAGCAAACATCATTCTCAATGGTGAAAAACTGAAAGCATTTCCTCTAAGATCAGGAACAAGACGAGGATGTCCACTCTCACCGCTATTATTCAACATAGTTTTGGAAGTCCTAGTGTCGGCAATCAGAGAAGAAAAAGAAATAAAAGGAATACAAATTGGAAAAGAAGAAGTAAAACTGTTACTGTTTGCAGATGACACGATACTATACATAGAGAATCCTAAAGATGCCACCAGAAAACTACTAGAGCTAATCAATGAATTTGGTAAAGTTGCAGGATACAAAATTAATGCACAGAAATCTCTTGCATTCCTATACACTAATGATGAAAAATCTGAAAGAGAAATTAAGGAAACACTCCCATTTACCACTGCAACAAAAAGCATAGAACACCTAGGAATAAACCTACCTAGGGAGACAAAAGACCTGTATGCAGAAAACTATTAGACACTGATGAAAGAAATTAAAGATGATACCAACAGATGGAGAGATATACCATGTTCTTGGATTGGAAGAATCAACATTGTGAAAATGACTATATTACCCAAAGCAATCTGCAGGTTCAATGCAATCCCTATCAAATTACCAATGGCATTTTTTATGGAACTAGAACAAAAATATCTTAAAATTTGTATGGAGACACAAAAGACTCCAAATAGCCAAAGCAGTCTTGAGGGAAAAAAACGGAGCTGGAGGAATCAGACTCCCTGACTTCAGACTATACTACAAAGCTACAGTAATCAAGACAATATGGTACTGGCACAAAAACAGAAATACAGATCAATGGAACAAGATAGAAAGCCCAGAGAGAAACCCACACACCTATAGTCAACTAATCTATGACAAAGGAGGCAAGGATATACAATGGAGAAAAGACAGCCTCTTCAATAAGTGGTGCTGGGAAAACTGGACAGCTACATGTAAAAGAATGAAATTAGAACACTCCCTAACACCATGCACAAAAATAAACTCAAAATGGATTAGAGACCTAAATGTAAGACCGGACACTATAAAACTCTTAGAGGAAAACACAGGAAGAACACTCTTTGACATAAATCACAGCAAGATCTTTTTTGATCCACCTCCTAGAGTAATGGATATAAAAATAAAAATAAACAAATGGAACCTAATGATACTACAAAGTTTTTGCACAGCAAAGGAAACCGTAAACAAGACAAAAAGACAGCCTTCAGAATGGGAGAAAATATTTGCAAACGAACCAACGGACAAAGGATTAATCTCCAAAATATATAAACAGGGCTTCCCTGGTGGTGCAATGGTTGAGAGTCCGCCTGCTGATGCAGGGGACACGGGTTCGTGCCCCAGTCTGGGAAGATCCCACATGCCATGGAGCGGCTAGGCCCATGAGCCATGGCCGCTAAGCCTGAGCGTCTGGAGCCTGTGCTCCACAACAGGAGAGGCCACAACAGTGAGAGGCCCGCATACCGCAAAAAAAAAAAAAACTAAACTAAAAATAGAATTACCATATTATCCAGCAATCCCACTACTGGGCATATACCCAGGGAAAACCATAATTCAAAAAGACACATGCACCTCAATGTTCATTGCAGCACTATTTACAATAGTCAGGTCATGGAAGCAACCTAAATGCCCATCGACAGACGAATGGATAAAGAAGATGTGGTATATATACACAATGGAATATTACTCAGCCATAAAAAGGAACAAAACTGGGTAATTTGTTGAGCCATGGATGGATCTAGAGACTGTCATACAGAGTGAAGTAAGTCAGAAAGAGAAAAACAAATATTGTATATTAACGCATATATGTGGAACCTAGAAAAATGGTACAGATGAACTGGTTTGCAGGGCAGAAATTGAGATATAGATGTAGAGAACAAACGTATGGACACCAAGGGGGGAAAGCGGCAGGGGGGTGGGGGTGGTGGTGTGATGAATTGGGTGATTGGGATTGACATGTATACTCTGATGTGTATAAAATTGATGACTAATAGGAACATGCTGTATTACAAAAATAAAATTAAATTAAAAAATTAAAAAAAAATTATATGCCAATTAGATAACTTAGTTGAAAAGGACAATTCCTAGAAAGACAGAAATTTTAGAAAGAGAAGAACAAATAATCTGAATATAGTAAGTAAAGACACGGAATTTATTATCAAAAAACTACCCACAAAGAAAAGCTAAGGCCCACCCAGATGCCTTCATTGGTGAATTCTAGCAAACATTTCAAGAAGAATTAATACCAGTTCTTCACTAATTCTTCCCAAGAAAGATGAGGGAAACTCCCCAACTCATTCTGAGGCCAGTATTACCCTGATAACAAAACCAATAAAAATATCACAAGAAAAGAAAACTGAAGACCAATATCTCATGTGAACACAGACACAAAAACGCTCAACAAAATACTAGAAACATGACTCTAGCAACATATAAGATGCAGTAAACACCATGACCAAGTGGGATTTATCTCAGGAATACAAGGATGATTTAACATCCAAAAACCAATTAATGCAACACACCATATCCACAGAAAAAAAAAAGGAAACTATATGATCATCTAAATAGAAAGCATTTGACAAACCCAACACCTTTTCATGATAAGAACACTTAGCAGGGCTTCCCTGCTGGCGCAGTGCTTAAGAATCCGCCTGTCAATGCAGGGGACACAGGTTTGAGCCCTGATCCAGGAAGATCCCACAAGCCACAGAGCAACTAAGCGTGTGTACCACAACTACTGAGCCTGCGCTCTAGAGCCCGCGAGCCACAACTACTGAGTCCACACGCCACACCTACTGAAGCCTGCGTGCCTAGAGCCCATGCCCCACAATAAGAGAAGCCACCGCAATGAGAAGCCTGTGCACTGCAACGAAGAGTAGCCCCCGCTCTCCGCAACTAGAGAAAGCCCGCGCGCAGCAATGAACACCCAATGCAGCCAAAAATAAATAAATAAATAAATTTTTTAAAAAGTAGAAACAACCTATCAGGTGGTGAATAGATAAACAATATGTGGTATAGCCATACAATGGAATACTATTCAGTCTTATAAAAGAATGAAGTACATGACATGCCCTACAACATGGATGAATCTTGAAAACATACGCTAAATGAAAGATATCAGTCACAAAAGACCACATAGTTCTGTACAACTCTATTTAAATGAAATGTTCAGAATAGGCAGATATAGAGACAGAACTATTAGTGGTTGCTTAGGGGTGAAAGGCCTATAGGACAATGGGGAGTGACAGTGAGTACAGGGTTTCTTTTGGGGATGATTAAATGTTCTAACATCGATGTGGTGATGGTTGTACAACTCTGTGAACATATTAAAAACCACTGAATTGTATACTTAAAATGGGTAAAATGTATGGTATGTTAATTATATTTCAAAAGGCCATTAAAAAAATTCCATAGCATAAGCAGCTGACACAGCTAATAGGACACTCACCTCTCTTTCCAATTCATCCTCCTCTTCCAAAATATCATACACCTGCTCTAAAAGCTGAATCCCCAGGCCCCGAATTACATCAGCTCTCAAGACTTCAACTATTCTTCTGATTTTTTCAGAACCTGGCACGATAGCTAAAAAGCAATAACAACAACAGGGAAAAAGTAAACACTTTCACCACTGCAGCAAGAACACAATTTTTTTTCTTTTTTTTTTCCTGGTAATCTTGTCATGTTAAGATTCTTTTCACTTTGACAAGAGTTTAGTTTAAGAGTTCATGTTTTTTTGGTTTTTTTTTGCGGTACGCGGGCCTCTCACTGCTGTGGCCTCTCCCGTTGCGGAGCACAGGCTCCAGACGCGCAGGCTCAGCAGCCATGGCTCACGGGCCCAGCCGCTCCGCGGCATGTGGGATCTTCCCGGACCGGGGCACGAACCCGTGTCCCCTGCATCGGCAGGCAGACTTTCAACCACTGTGCCATCAGGGAAGCCCAAGAGTTCATGTATTTTTGATGACTAAAATGTATATATGAACTTACGCTTCATGTCTCATCACCATCTCCTAAATCTAAAAACTACAAATTGTCTAATTTGAAGAAAGTCCACGTGAAAAATTCCAAACATGTATTTATTTACATTTATTTTTAAAAATCAATTTTCATTCAACTTTTCAGGAATACAACTGTTACATAAAATAAGATATATTTTTTTATGAAGATATCCAAATGAAATAATTTAAAAAACCAAAAATATTTGCAAGCATTAAGCTCCTTAGTTTGATACATTTCTCCAGTAAACATATGCTCTCCAGCTTGGTGTAAAACAATAAACTGACCACCTGAAGGTAGCTCTTTAAAACGGAGTTCCTCCGCCTCCTCTGCAACTTTCCCATGAAGTATCAGTGTGTCCCGATACTTCCGAAGAAGTTTAAATTCTGACACTGGCTCTGGTACCGGGAGATCTTCATAGCTCTCTTTAGAGTCCAAATTCAGGGTCTGTGTCATCAATTGTACCAAGTCACTCATTTCATTTGTATGACCTTTCCTGGAAAACAAAAAATTCTCTTGTTACTAATTGGCTTCATGAAAATTTTTCATTAGAACTTAGATACAAAACAACCTTTAGGGTTCTGCTTTCTAGTAAGCAAGTAAGTTCCGACGGACAGAACCCTTCCACAAATAAGTATAAACTTTGGACAAAATACAAAAATCAACTATGTGAGGGCAATGAAGAATGTACAAAATTTGCAAGCAGATTCTGGAGGAGAGTCAACACCTTTAGCCTAAAGGCAAGCCATAGGCAGCTAAAGTACAACAGAAAACCCGGTCTTTCTTGCCTGCAAAACCAAAGGACAGAGTTCGAGACCACCACTGCCACTAGAAAGTGAGAGAAGAATCTTGGAAAGGAGAGAGTGAGAAAGACAAGGTCCCAGATTTTGCGTATAAATTCCACCCAACTATTTCTAAGTAACTTAACTATATCCAAGTACAAAGTTCAAGAATATTTAAAGAAATATAAAAATATCAGCAATTAATGGGATAAAATTGACAATGTCTGGCATCACGTCAAAAATACCAGACATGAGGGCTTCCCTGGTGGCACAGTGGTTGAGAGTCCGCCTGCTGATGCAGGGGCGCGGGTTCGTGACCCGGTCCGGGAAGATCCCACATGCCACGGAGCGGCTGGGCCCGTGAGCCATGGCTGCTGGGCCTGCGTGTCCGGAGCCTGTACTCCGCAACGGGAGAGGCCATAACAGTGAGAGGCCCGCGTACCGTAAAAAAAAAAAAAAAAATACCAGACATGCAAAGCAGGAAAATAGCACACAATTATGAAGAGAAAAAAATAAGTTAATAGAAATAGATCCAGAAGCGATACAAGTGACAGAATTAGTAAATAAGGACATTAAAATGGTTATTAAACATATATTCCATATGACCAAGGTAGGGGAAACACCAACATGTTAAGGAGAGGCAATGAAGATATAAAAAGGACCCAAATTGAACTACAAATGATAAGTACAATGTGTTGAATATGTGGGATGGGATTAACAAATTAGATACTGCAGGAGAAAAGATTAGTGAACTCAAAGATACAGCAATAGAATCTACAAAAAATGGAACAGATGGGAATTCCCTGGCAGTCTTGTGGTTAGGACTCCATGCTTTCACTGCCGAGGGCATGGGTTCAATCCCTGGTCAGGGAACTAAGATCCCACAAGCCACAACGTGTGGCCAGAAAAAAAAAAAAAAGGAATAGAGAAAAAAAGACTAAAGAAAAAATAGAATATGATTAGTGACCTGTGGGATAACTTTAAGCAATCTAATATAAATGTAATCAGAATCCTTAGGAGGGCAGGAGGGGGTCCAAAAAAATACTTGAAGAAATAATGGCGAAACTGTTTCCACCAATGAAAACTATAAACCCACAGATCTAAGAAGACATTTTATAAGAATTCTGAATGAAAATCAGATGTGTCCATTAAAAGAGAATTTTAGCTCTTGCATATACCAAAAACCATTTACAATGTTATCAATGACAGTACTACAGGTCTGAATGCTACGATAAATGTACATTTAAAATTAATTCATAAAAAAAAAAAAAAAAAAAAAAAAAAAAAAAAAATTAATTCATAAACAAATGGGACCTAATCAAGCTTATAAGCTTTTGCACAGCAACAGAAACCATAAAAAAAAATGAAAAGATAACCTACAGACTGGGAGAAAATATTTGCAAACAATGCAACTGACAAGGGATTAATTTCCAAAGTATAAAAACAGCTCATACAATTCAATAACAACAACAAAAAACAACCCAATCAAAAAATGGGCAGAAGACCTAAATAGACATTTCTCCAAAAAAGACATAAAGATGGCCAATAGGCACAAGAAAAGATGTTCAACATCACTAATTATTAGAGAAATGCAAATCAAAACTACAATGAGGTACCACCTCACGCGGGTCAGAATGGCCATCATTAAAAAGTCTACAAATAATAAATGCTGGAAATCCAAAGAGAAACACGCCAAGACACATATTAATCAAACTGTCAAAAATTAAATACAAAGAAAACATATTAAAAGCAGCAAGGGAAAAACAACAAATAACACACAAGGGAATCCCCATAAGGTTAACAGCTGATCTTTCAGCAGAAACTCTGCAAGCCAGAAGGGAATGGCAGGACATATTTAAAGTGATGAAGGAGAAAAACCTACAACCAAGATTACTCTACCCAGCAAGGATCTCATTCAGATTTGATGGAGAAATTAAAACCTTTACAGACAAGCAAAAGCTGAGAGAGTTCAGCACCACCAAACCAGCTTTACAACAAATGCTAAAGGAACTTCTCTAGGCAAGAAACACAAGAGAAGGAAAAGACTGACAATAACAAACCCAAAACAATTAAGAAAATGGTCATAGGAACATACATATCGATAATTACCTTAAACATAAATGGATTAAATGCTCCAACCAAAAGACACAGGCTCGCTGAATGGATACAAAAACAAGACCCATATATATGCTGTCTACAAGAGACCCACTTCAGACCTAGGGACACATACAGACTGAAAGTGAGGGGATGTAAAAACATATTCCATGCAAATGGAAATCAAAAGAAGGCTGGAGTAGCAATTCTCATATCAGACAAAATAGACTTTAAAATAAAGACTATTACAAGAGACAAAGAAGGACACTACACATAATGATCAACGGATCCATCTAAGAAGAAGATATAACAATTGTAAATATTTATGCACCCAACCTAGGAGCACCTCAATACATAAGGCAAATACTAACAGCCATAAAAGGGGAAATCGACAGTAACACATTCATAGTAGGGGACTTTAACACCCCACTTTCACCAATGGACAGATCATCCAAAATGAAAATACATAAGGAAACACAAGCTTTAAATGATACATTAAACAAGATGGACTTAATTGATATTTATAGGACATTCCATCCAAAAACAACAGAATACACATTTTTCTCAAGTGCTCATGGAACATTCTCCAGGATAGATCATATCTTGGGTCACAGATCAAGCCTTGGTAAATTTAAGAAAATTGAAATTGTATCAAGTATCTTTTCCGACCACAATGCTATGAGACTAGATATCAATTACAGGAAAAGACCTGTAAAAAATACAAACACATGGAGGCTAAACAATACACTACTTAATAACGAAGTGATCACTGAAGAAATCAAAGAGGAAATTAAAAAATACCTAGAAACAAATGACAATGGAGACACGACGACCCAAAACCTATGGGATGCAATAAAAGCAGTTCTAAGAGGGAAGTTTATAGCAATACAATCCTACCTTAAGAAACAGGAAACATCTCGAATAAGCAACCTAACCTTGCACCTAAAGCAATCAGAGAAAGAAGAACAAAAAAACCCCAAAGTTAGCAGAAGGAAAGAAATCATAAAAATCAGATCAGAAATAAATGAAAATGAAATGAAGGAAACGATAGCAAAGATCAATAAAACTAAAAGTTGGTTCTTTGAGAAGATAAACAAAATTGATACACCATTAGCCAGACCCATCAAGAAAAAAAGGGAGAAGACTCAAATCAATAGAATTAGAAATGAAAAAGGAGAAGTAACAACTGACACTGCAGAAATACAAAAGTTCATGAGCGATTACTACAAGCAACTCTATGCCAATAAAATGGACAACCTAGAAGAAATGGACAAATCTTTAGAAATGCACAACCTGCCAAGACTGAATCAGGAAGAAATAGAAAATATGAACAGACCAATCACAAGCACTGAAATTGAAACTGTGATTAAAAATCTTCCAACAAACAAAAGCCCAGGACCAGATGGCTTCACAAGCGAATTCTATCAAACATTTAGAGAAGAGCTAACACCTATCCTTCTCAAACTCTTCCAAAATATAGCAGAGGGAGGAACACTCCCAAACTCATTCTACAAGGCCACCGTCACCCTGATACCAAAACCAGACAAGGATGTCACAAAGAAAGAAAACTGCAGGCCAATATCACCGATGAACATAGATGCAAAAATCCTCAACAAAATACTAGCAAACAGAATCCAACAGCATAGTAAAAGGATCATACACCATGATAAAGTGGGGTTTATTCCAGGAATGCAAGGATTCTTCAATATATGCAAATCAATCAACGTGATACACCATATTAACAAACTAAAGGAGAAAAACCATATGATCACCTCAACAGATGCAGAGAAAGCTTTTGACAAAATTCAACACCCATTTATGATAAAAACCCTGAAGAAAGTAGGCATAGAGGGAACTTTCCTCAACATAATAAAGGCCATATATGACAAACCCACAGCCAACATCGTCCTCAATGGTGAAAAACTGAAAGCATTTCCACTAAGATCAGGAACAAGACAAGGTTGCCCACTCTCACCACTCTTATTCAACATAGTTTTGGAAGTTTTAGCCACAGCAATCAGAGAAGAAAAGGAAATAAAAGGAATACAAATCGGAAAAGAAGTAAAGCTGTCACTGTTTGCAGATGACATGATACTATACACAGAGAATCCTAAAGATGCCACCAGAAAACTACTAGAGCCAATCAATGAATTTGGTAAAGTAGCAGGATACAAAATTAATGCACAGAGATCTCTGGCATTCCTATACACTAACGATGAAAAATCTGAAAGTGAAATCAAGACAACACTCCCATTTACCATTGCAACAAAAAGAATAAAATATCTAGGAATAAACCTACCTAAGGAGACAAAAGACCTGTATGCAGAAAACTATAAGACACTGATGAAAGAAATTAAAGATGATACAAATAGATGGAGAGATATACCATGTTCTTGAATTGGAAAAATCAACATTGTGAAAATGACTCTGCTACCCAAAGCAATCTACAGATTCAATGCAACCCCTATCAAATTACCAATGGCATTTTTCACAGAACTATAACAAAAAATTTCACAATTTGTATGGAAACACAAAAGACCCCAAATAGCCAAAGCAATCTATTTTTTTTTTTTTTTTTTTTTGCGGTATGCGGGCCTCTCACTGTTGTGGCCTCTCCCATTGCGGAGCACAGGCTCCAGACGCGCAGGCTCTGGACGCGCAGGCTCAGTGGTCATGGCTCACGGGCCCAGCCGCTCCGTGGCATGTGGGATCTTCCTGGACTGGGGCACGAACCCGTGTCCCCTGCATCAGCAGGCGGACTCTCAACCAGTGTGCCACCAGGGAAGCCCTGGCCAAAGCAATCTTGAGAATGAAAAACGGAGCTGGAGGAATCAGGCTCCCTGACTTCAGACTATACCACAAAGCTACAGTAATCAAGACAGTATGGTACTGGCACAAAAACAGAAAGATAGATCAATGGAACAGGATAGAAAGCCCAGAGATAAACCCACACACATATGGTCACCTTATCTTTGATAAAGGAGGCAGGAATGTACAATGGAAAAAGGAGAGCCTCTTCAATAAGTGGTGCTGGGAAAACTGGACAGGTACATGTAAAAGTATGAGATTAGATCACTCCCTAACACCATACACAAAAATAAGCTCAAAATGGATTAAAGACCTAAATGTAAGGCCAGAAACTATCAAACTCTTAGAGGAAAACATAGGCAGAACACTCTATGACATAAATCACAGCAAGATCCTTTTTGACCCACCTCCTAGAGAAATGGAAATAAAAACAAAAATAAACAAATGGGACCTAATGAAACTCAAAAGCTTTTGCACAGCAAAGGAAACCATAAACAAGACCAACAGACAACCCTCAGAATGGGAGAAAATATTTGCAAATGAAGCAACTGACAAAGGATTAATCTCCAAAATTTACAAGCAGCTCATGCAGCTCAATAACAGAAAAACAAACAACCCAATCCAAAAGTGGGCAGAAGACCTAAACAGACATTTCTCCAAAGAAGATATACAGACTGCCAACAAACACATGAAAGAACGCTCAACATCATTAATCATTAGAGAAATGCAAATCAAAACTACAATGAGATATCATCTCACACCAGTCAGAATGGCCATCATCAAACAATCTAGAAACAATTAATGCTGGAGAGGGTGTGGAGAAAAGGGAACACTCTTGCACTGCTGGTGGGAATGTGAATTGGTACAGCCACTATGGAGAACAGTATGGAGGTTCCTTAAAAAACTAAAAATAGAACTACTATATGACCCAGCAATCCCACTACTGGGCATACACCCTGAGAAAACCGTAATTCAAAAAGAGTCATGTACCAAAATGTTCATTGCGGCTCTATTTACAATAGCCAGGAGATGGAAACAACCTAAGCATCCATCATCAGATGAATGGATAAAGAAGATGTGGCACATATATACAATGGAATATTCCTCAGCCATAAAAAGAAACAAAATTGAGCTATTTGTAATGAGGTGGATGGACCTAGAGTCTGTCATACAGAGTGAAGTAAGTCAGAAAGAGAAAGACAAATACCGTATGCTAACACATATATATGGAATTTAAGAAAAAAAAATGTCATGAAGAACCTTAGGGTAAGACAGTAATAAAGACACAGACCTACTAGAGAATGGACTTGAGGATATGGGGAGGGGGAAGGGTAAGCTGTGACAAAGCGAGAGAGTGGCATGGACATATATACACTACCAAACGTAAAACAGATAGCTAGTGGGAAGCAGCCGCATAGCACAGGGAGATCAGCTTGGTGCTTTGTGACCACCTACAGGGGTGGGACAGGGAGCGGGGGAACTAACACACCAACGTTAGTGTGTGTGAAAGCAGAAACTAACACACCAATGTAAAGTAATTATACTCCAATAAAGATTTAAAAAAAAAAAAGGAAAATTGTGTTAGCAACATAAATGGAGAAACAGCAAAAAAAAAAAAAAAAATGCCGGAGAGGATGTGGAGAAAAGGGAACCCTCTTACACTGTTGGTGGGAATGTAAATTGGTGCAGCCATTATGTAAAACAGTATGGAGGTTCCTCAGAAAACTAAAAACAGAGTTGCCATGTGATCCAGCAATTCCACTCCTAGGCATATACCCAGACAAAACTATAATTCGAAAAGATACATGCACCCCTATGTTCATAGCAGCACTATCTACAATAACTAAGACATGGAAACAACCTAAATGTCCATTGACAGATGAATGGATAAAGATGTGAGATAGACAGATAGATAGATACACATACACACACATACATATATATACACATACATACAATGGACTATTACTCAGCCACTAAAAAGAATGAAATCATGCCATTCGCAGCAACATGGATGGACCCAGAGGTTATCATACTAAGCAAAGTAAGTCAGAAAGAGAAAGACAAATACCATATGATATCACTTATTTGTGAAATCTAAAGTATGACACAAACAAACATATCTGTGAAACAGAAAGAGACTCAAAGACATGGGAACAGACTTGTGGTTTCCAAGGGGGTTGGGGGTGGGGGAGGGAAGTAACTGGGAGTGTGGGATCAGCAGATGCAAACTATTATTTATATGACAGATAAACAGCAAGGTCTTAACTGTATAGCACAGAGAACTCTATTCAATATCCTGTGATAAACCATAATGGAAGAGAATATGAAAAAGAATATATGTATAACTGAGTCAGTTTGCTGTACAGCAGAAATTAATACATTGTAAATCAACTATACTTCAATAAAATTTTTTAAAGTAAAAAAATAAAATTAAATTAGAATAAAATTAATTCAAACAGAAATAGCTTATGAAAGGAGATAGAAAAATAAGAACTTACCCTTCCTTGGAATCCCCATTTGATTTATCAGTTGAACTTGTAGAAGAACTTAACTCATCCTCAGAGAGACAATGGGTGAGTTTCCTTTCCTATTAATGTTTGGAAATACAAAATTCCACATGACAGCACAACCAGAATGTAATACATGAAACAATCTTAGATGCAATGCCTAGACACAATGTGCACCTAGGTCCAATTTAACAGGAGAACTATGGATATAAAAATTGAAGTTACTTTACCAAATAATGTCCCAGTTCACCCATGAAGTTCATAAGTGAAGCCTGAGGAACACCAAGGTGAAGTTTTATAAGGTCCTGGAAAGTCTCAGCTATGAAGAAATTTCCTTTCCAGAGGAGAGCAGACAAACAGTTCTGGTGTTTGAACTTCTAAGCAGAGGGCTGGTACCATAAGGAATGTTGGCATTTTAAACTAGACAGAATGCCACCTAAATAAAAAGTAACCTCAGTTTGCTCACCCATGATACTCATTGTTAAATGCTTTAAAGGATTACCTGATATAATTACACACAAATGTTACAACTTTTGAAAATAAAGAGGATCATTTTAATTAGTGAAGCAACTAAATCACACACTATTCTTAAAGGAAAACACTCTTCATTACTTTCAAGGGCAGGAAGTTTCTTTTTTAAAAAAAGTAATTATATGCTCCTAGAAATGATGTCAAAAACTGGAATACAGAAAACTGAATAATTATTCCCAGGGTATTATTACACAAAAAAGTGAACGTGGTTAAAAACTTGCAATTATCCATTTAGCCACCAAATGGTGCCCCTACATTATCCCTGGGTGGAAAGGTAAGGTACTTTGACACAAACAGGAAACAAAGGAAGGATCAGCAAGTGAGACTAAAATCTGGCCAGGTCGTTTGTTATATTATTAACACAGCAGAATAAGCAAAGTGTTGCCTAGTGGAAGCCCTTTGGAAGTCTTGTTTAAAAGACTGCCTAAGAAAGTTATTAACTAGGCTGCCAGTTGTTTACAAGAGCGCCTGAAAAGTCCATTCCCTTAATGAAGGAAACAAAATCCTTTTAATTATTATTGACCAGTTCTTTTTCTTATCAGAGAAGTGTGAAAAGTGTAACTTAAGTCAGCACTGTCCCAGGAATAAATAGAGCTGGCATTTATGAGGTTTACCGTTATTAGGCTTGCCAGATGTAGACATGTCTACCTTTTACCTTAGGACTATGTAATGTACCTGAGCAACGCTGTAGTCAGAAGACAACCATTGAGCAGGGGTAGGGTGGCCTTCCTCTTGTGGTTTCTCTGACCCCGCTGGACTCAGAGAAACTCTCCTCACTGAAGGGCCTGAAAAAGTGACAACCCCCAGCAGTTGTTTATGGTGGGCTGGCCTCAATAGAAGAGGGCTTTGCACTGTTTATGGAAGATACCCCAGCAAGGGCCAGCCTAGAAGGAACTCAGACAGCATATTCATCATCACTCTGGTGTCTGACACCTCAGTTCAAATCTCAGGTCTAGGTCTACCAGCCCTGTGACCTTGGGTAAGTTACTTAACCCCTCAGACCCTCAGTCTCCTCCGCTGCAAAATATGAAATGAGATAATGCCCTTAAAATACTTAGCATAATGTTTGAGACATTGTCAGCATTCAACAAATGGAAACTGCTAGAATATGTTGTCTTTAGATAATAGTAATAGGAATGATCACAGCCCTCAGCCCAGGGCAGTACCATTCTCCTGGCTTCCTCTCTCTCTTCCTGAGAAGAGAGCACTTCTCTGACCAACAGACTCTGAACATGGAAACAAAGTAAACACTCGCCTGACTGCTTTCCTGTCTGAAATCTCCCAGGAGTTACTGTCACTCAAAGCTCTCTTGCTCTCTTTTTAGAGTCCTCTTTCTCTAATAACACAAGTTCCAGATCCAATACTATGCCAATTTTTTAAAAGGCTTAACTAGGAAATTTCAAAAATTCTTCTAAATTGGTTTCCCAAATGGATTACTGATGCTGGAAATTCTTAACACCTCACAATCAGTACCAATGCTATGTCCATGAGCCATACCAATAACCTCCAATAGATGAAGGAAAGAGAAAAACTTTACCTGAGGGGAAGATCTCTTCCTGTGACTGCTTTAGTCGCCTCCTCTCTCTTGCTGATAATGGGCGGTCCTTTTAAAGAAAGTCAGTTACTTCCATTCCTATTCACTGTTCTTACAATACCTACAATGCATGACATATCATCCAGCACTACAGGAAAGGCCCTGCACAGGTCTTTAAGGGAGTGTCCATTTGAAACCAGTTCACATCAGGCTTACAACTCCTAGCTAGGATGATCACAGCCCTCATTTCTAGGAAGAGCTCATCTTTGGAAGGGCAAATAGGTATTTCTGCATTTCCTACATTCAGAATCCACTTGGTCTCCTTAATTAACTGGAAGTGACCAGCCCTGAAACAATAGAATCTGTCCATTTCAATCAAAGCTTCTGTTGAGAATCACAAATTTGCGCTTTCCAGTGTTTGGCAAAAAGCAGGGCTAAGATGTTTTAATATAAAACTTCACAATACATGCAGGATTTACAACCAAAAAGTTTTATAATAAAGCTTAAAAAAATCCAACATAGACTCCTACAAACCTTTGATGATGATATCTCACTGTTCCTCGAACTGCTCACAGACCCAGTGATCACTCTACTTTGGTTTTCAGCATCTTTTTGTGTTGATGTGACATCCACTTTTCCAACAGTAGAAAGAGAAGGCAAAAGACGAGGAGGAGTCTCTTGGAACTTCCATAATTAACAAAGAGAGGGAGATTATCAGTGTCATATACATCTACCTCCAAAGGTTCCCCCATCGGTAAATCTATGTATTTGTCAGTGATTCCCTCCCAAAAACTTTAAAACATTGCATTTGCGGGGGGGCAGGGGGCAGAGGGGAAGAAACTCTGCCAAAAGTGAATGACCACTTAAGAAGCTTATTGAGAGGGTGCCTGTGAAAGTTACTTCCAGAAATGAGGGGTTGCCACGATCTTATGCAGAAGTTGAGGGAGAAACTGTTCATTAATATGACATAAGAGGAATCAGAGATTTACCTTTTTTGGCCTGTTCCTTTAACTCTCAAAATAAGCTGTCCATCCTTGCTGGAGAAGATAAAATCCTTACTCTGCTTCCAACTCACTGACATTTGATAACCAATATTTAGCATTTCTACCCTTCTTTATATGTTCCTTGCATTATGTATGTGCCTTTTTAGCACATCATTTTAAATAGAAATGAAGTTTCCTAAAGTCTGTTTCCCAAGCAGCAGCACAATGACTTATTCCAAAGAGATCTCTGCTGACCTGTCTCTCTTCCTCACTATGCTCAGTATGTTCTCTTTTCTTCTGCCGCCGCTGTTGAGACAGGAAAGGTTCAGACCCAGAGCTGTGTGGCTGTAAAGCTGGGTGGATTCTGTCCTGTTTTTCTATAACACATTCACCAGCAACTTGATCCTTAAAAATAATAAAATGAAACAAACAAAAAAACAAAATAGAATAATGAAACAGTCTTTTGAACTTCCAAATAGCCAAACCTGCCATATCTACTTCTAAAATTATAAATGAAAGAAGGAGGAGCTGTCTTTTTCAAAATGAATGCTTATTTTCAGTGTTGACAGGCAAAGACAGAATGATGGCATCAGTTATCTACATATTCTGGGTTTTCTTCTCTTTTCCCAAATAAAAATAATTATTTTAATTAAATTACTCAGATTGTTATTAATCTGAAACTACCAATGTTCATTTAGTTTTTTAAAAATCTTTTTATAACTTTTAATAGGTTTGCAATTCAGAAAACTAACAAATGTTTTAAATGAAATCCAATTTAATATACACATACTTCCCAAGTAAACATTAGTTATTTGGATGCCCTCTAAAAAGCACCATGAAAAGATCACGAGCTTGGATTCAGATGGAGTCATATCTCCCTGAACCTCTGTTTCCTTATCTATAAATGGGTATAATGCGTCACACACATCATGTGACTACTGGAGGATTAGAGGAGATTGTGCACTATAGTACTTAAGATCACATCTAGCACATATTAGATGCTCAGAAACCAGGAGCTATTACTAGCAGTAGTAAAGATAAAATAAGTTAACTTTTAAATTATGAAGATCACCAAGGACTTAGTGTTTTATTTGGATAACTGGTTTTAGAAACTAATGCACACCAAACATTAAAATAAAATAGCTTCTTACATTAATTTTTTTTTTTTTTTTTTTTTTTTGCGGTACGCGGGCCTCTCACTGTTGTAGCCTCTCCCATTGCAGAGCACAGGCTCCGGACGCGCAGGCTCAGCAGCCATGGCTCACAGGCCCAGCCGCTCTGCAGCATGTGGGATCTTCCAGACCAGGGCACGAACCTGTGTCCCCTGCATCGGCAGGTGGACTCTCAACCACTGCGCCACCAGGGAAGTCCAATCAACACATTTTTATCAACAGCCCACTATGTGGTACATTTTAGAAAAAGGAACAGTGTCATATGCTAGCTATGCAAGGATACCCAGATAATAAACAGTAACTGATTTAATTCTGAAGAGTGAAATAAATGTTTCTCTGCTGGTATTAAGTATAGAATATTCAAAATAAAGCTTATACATATAAGAGTACCTGAACAAATGACTTAAGGAGTTTCTCCATGAAATCCAATTGGTCCTAAAAAAAGTTCTTCCACTTTTATCAACAACAAAATAACGACAACAACAACAAAGAAATGCTGGACATGAAATTCTATCAAAAAAACAAAAAAATCTACTCTAAAAGCCTGATGTAAGAAACATATTTGATCAGGTGCAAGACAGGGATGTCCATTCTTATCACTCCTATTCAACACTGTACTAGAGGTTCTAGCCAGGGCAATCAGACAAGAAAAAATAAATAAATAAAAGAAATCCAGATTGAAAAGGAAAAATCTCTATTTGCAGATGATGTGATACTGTATTCAGAAAATTCTAAGGAGTCCATTATTAAAAAGTTATTAGAACCAATAAATGAGTTAAGTAAGGCTGTAGGATATAAAGACAATATATAAAAATTAATTGTATTTCTATACACAAGCAATGAACACTATGAAAATCATTCCATTTACAATAGTATCAGAACAAAATACTTAAATTTATTTCTTTACTTTTGGCTGCGTTGGGTCTTCGTTGCTGCGCACACTTTCTCTTGTTGTGGCGAGCAGGGGCTACTCTTTGTGGCAGTGTGCAGGCTTCTCACTGCAGTGGCTTCTCTTGTTGTGGAGCATGGGTTCTAGGCACGCAGGCTTCCATAGCTGTGGTGCACGGGCTTAGTTGCTCCACGGCATGTGGGACCTTCCCCGCCCAGGGCTCAAACCCATGTCCCCTGCACTGGTAGGCGGATTCTTAACCACTGCGCCACAAGGGAAGCCAATGGAACAAAATACTTAGAAATGAATTTAACAAAAGAAGTGCAAGACTTATACACTTAAAACAACAAAACATCATTGTAAGAAACTGAAGACGACCTAAAGAAAATAGAAAGATATCCTATGTTCATGAGTTGGAAGATACACATTGAGATAGCAATAATCTGCAAATAATCTACAGATTCAATAAAATCCATGTCAAAACCCCAGGCTTTTTTGCAGAAATTGACAAGCTAATCTTAAAATTCATATGGAAATGCGAAGGACCCCATATAGCCAAAACAGTATTGAAAATTAAGAATAAAGTTGGAAGACTTAACCTTCCCAATTTCAAAACTTACTACAGTGAATTCCCTGGTGGCCTAGTGGTTAGGATTTTGGATTTTCACTGCTGTGGCCCGGATGCAATCCCTAGTCAGGGAACTGAGATCCTGTAAGCCGTGCAGCATGGCCAAAAAAAAAAAAAAACACTTACTATAAACCTACAGTAATTGTGTTACTGACATACAGATAGAGAAATCAGTGGTACAGAATTGAGAGTATAAAATTAAATGATCATATTTAGGGTCTACTGATTTTCAATGAGGGTCCCAAGAAAATTCAATGGGAAAAGAATAATCTTTTAACAAATGGTACTTGGACAAGTGGATATCTACATACAAAAGAATGAAGTAGAACCCTTTCTTCACATCACACACAAAAATTAACTCAAAATAGATCTCAGACCTAAATGTAAGAGTTAAAATTATGAACTCTTAAAAGAAATTATGGGAGAAATCTTCATGACACTAAAAGCAGAAGCAACAAAAGAAAAAATAGACAAAACTAGATTTCATCAAGTTTTAAAACTTTTATGCTCCAAAGGACACCATCAAGAAAGTGAAGATGGGGGACTTCCCTGGGGGTCCAGTGGTAAAGAATCCGCCTTCCAATGCAGGGGACGCAGGTTCAATCCCTGGTTGGGGAACTAAGATCCCACATGCTGTGGGGCAACTACGCCTGCGCGCCACAACTACTGAGCTCACACGCCTCAACAAGAGAGCCCACATGCTGCAAACTACAGAGCCCATGCTTTCTGGAGCCTACACATCCTGGAGCCCATGTGCCACAACTAGAGAGAAGACTGCGCACCACAACGAAAGATGCCGCACGCCTCAACGAAGGCCCCGCGTGCTGCAACTAAGACCCAACGCAGCCAAAAAAGTAATAAAGAAAAAATAAATAAATAATAAAAAAAATGAAAGTGAAGATGGGACTTCCCTGGTGGTCCAGTGGTTAAGACTCTGCACTTCCACTGCAGGGGGCACAGGTTCGATCCCTGGTCAGGGAACTAAGATCCCACATGCTGCATGGCGCAGTCAAAATAAAATAAAATAAAATATACTTTAAAAAGAAAGTGAAGACAATCCACAGAATGGGAGACAATATTTTTGAATCTTACATCTGATAGGGGACTGACATTTGTAACTGATAAAGAACTCCTACTACTCAACAATAAAAAGATAAATGAACCAATTTAAAAATGGGCAAAGGATTTGAATAGGTATTTCTCCAAAGTAGGTATAAAAATGGCCAATAAGCCATGAAAAGATGCTCAACAACATTAGTCATTAGGGAGGTGCAAATTAAAACCACAATAAGATACCACTTCCAGGATGGCTAGAATCAAAAACAAAAAACACAGAAAATAAGTGTTGGTGAGGATGTGGAGAAATTACAACTCTCATACATTGCTGATGTGAAGTAAAATGATATAGTTGCTTTGGAAAACAGTTCTGCAGTTCCTCAGAAAGTTAAACATAGGGCTTCCCTGGTGGCGCAGTGGTTGAGAGTCCGCCTGCCGATGCAGGGGACACGGGTTCGTGCCCTGGTCTAGGAACATCCCACATGCCGTGGAGCGGCTGGGCCAGTGAGCCATGGCTGCTGAGCCTGCACGTCCGGAGCCTGTGCTCCGCAACGGGAGAGACCACAACAGTGAAAGGCCTGCATACCGCAAAAAAAAAAAAAAAAAAAGTTAAACATAGAGTCACCATATGATCCAGCAATTCCACTCCTAGGTATATACCCAAGAGAACTGAAAACATATGTCCACACAAAAACTTGTACGAATGTTCAAAGCAACTTTATCCACAGTGAAAAGTGAAAAAAACTCAAATGTTCATCAACTGATGAATAGATAAATAAAATATGAAATATACATACGGTAGAATTTATTTGGCAATAAAAAGAAATGAAATACTGGTACAGGCTACAACTTGGATATAACCTTGAAAGCATTATGCTAAATAAAAGAAGCCAGATACAAAAGGCCATATCTGTATGATTCCATTTATATGAAATATTGAGAATAGGCAAATTCATACAGACAATGGTTGCCAAGGGCTAGAGACAAGGAGGAATGGAGAGTGACTAGTATTGAGTATGGGGCTTCTTTTTGAGGTGATGGAAATGTTCTGGAAACAGATAATAGCAGTGAATGTACAACTTTATAAATATACTAAAAACCACTGAATTGGCACTTTAAAAATTTTTTAAATAATTATGGAAAAAAATAAAAGAAGCGAACTTGAATATAATTTGACAGTCAAGCAGAACAAGCAGGACATATATAATTTTATCTATAAAGTACTAAGGATTCCAGTGTCCAGAGAATGCTTAAGACTAAATTTTGGTTTCAATTCAATGAGTTTAAATGAAAAGAGCATCATACTTGTACTTTTCTATAAAAACAAAACCTTATTAAAAACACTTGAGGGACTTCCCTGGTGGCACAGTGGTTAAGAATCTGCCTGCCAATGCAGGGGACACAGGTTCGAGTCCTGGTCTGGGAAGATCCCACACGCCGTGGAGCAACTAAGCCCCTGCACCACAACTACTGAGCCTGTGCACTAGAGCCCACGAGCCACAACTACTGAGCCCACATACCACAACTACTGAAACCCGCGTGCCTAGAGCCCATGCTCTGCAACAAGAGAAGCCACCACAATGAGAAGCCTGTGCAACACAATGAAGAGTAGCCCCTGCTCACTGCAACTAGAGAAAGCCCACACACAGCAACAAAGACCCAAACAGCCATGAATAAAATAGATAAAAACATTTGACTATAGACATATAAAATAGTTATATACATTTATATAAAAGTGTTAAATATGAAAATGTATGTAATATATAAAGTTTAAATATATATACATTATAAAAATATAGTCAATATATACATTAAATACATTAAATATATAAATTAAATATTTATTTATATAAATAAATATATTCTTTAACTATTTTACAAATAAAAATGTGAAGTTAATCAAATGTTCTGGCTTTCTTTCTAATCCTTAGCTATTACCATGCTTCATCTAATTTAGGCTTCTTTCCATGTTCAAGTAGAAGATACCCTTTAAATTTACTCAGAATAGTCTCTCAGTATCAAAATCCTTTTGTTCTGTTCCTTTTCTTCTCTTCTTCCTTCTCCTTTGGTTCCAACACATAAAATATGTTTTTTTAATTCCTTAACTTAAAAAATCAGACAAATCCACTAACTTTTAAAAGCAAGAAGGAATGTGATATTACCTAATTGTTGGAACTGTCCATTGACTTGGAGGACTTACAAAAGAATGATGTAGAAATAGGAAAAAACACACTAATGGCAAATGGCAAGTACCCTACACCAGGGCACAGAAAGGATCTAAGAATTCCTTGGGTCCTATCCTTTGGTTCTGTCATGTTTAAACTGTTATATGGAAACAACTGATTTTCCTAAAACCACAACTAAAAGCACAACCAAAGAACACAACCCACACCTTTGTAACCACACTTTCCAGTCTTCTTTCTGAAACCAATACCTTGTGCATGTCACTCACCTGGTCCTTTGATAACTTTTGGTCTTTGTTTAGGGGCTGCAGAGGCTTCACTGGGTCATTCGTTTCTCCAGTGACATAGTCAATGGACCATGTGGAAATTCGGTTTCCAGGTTGAGCACTGGATTTAGTGTTATCCTGCAGCCTCTCTTTCACTTGAGAAATAATACATTTACCTTCTAGCTCATTAGAGGCATCTAAGTCTCTTCGTTGATTCTCTTGAACTAAGCTGTTGTTCACTGAGTTCCTCCTTTCTGCAGGTAAGATGTCAATATTCACCCTACTGATCGTGGCTAGCGATTCTGCAGTATTGCTTATGTCTGGTTTGTAGGTGTGGCCTTTCAGACGTGGGGGTGTCTTCAAGGGGCCAATGACTATGGGTTTCTCCTGGGACAAATATTTGTCTTCACCCTGAATGAAAACATGCTTCCAAGTTATTATGGCACTCCTCACACCATATTAGAAAATTAACTCAAGGGGCTTCCCTGGTGGCGCAGTGGTTGGGAGTCCGCCTGCCGATGCAGGGGACACAGGTTCGTGCCCCGGTCCGGAAGGATCCCACATGCCGCAGAGCGCCTAGGCCCATGAGCCATGGCCGCTGAGCCTGTGCATCCGGAGCCTGTGCTCAGCAACGGGAGAGGTCACAGCAGTGAGAGGCCCGCATACCGCAAAAAAAAAAAAAAAAACAAAAAAAAAAACAACTCAAAATGGAATAGCAGTTTCCTCAGAAAGTTAAACATGGAATAATCATAAGACCCAACAATCCCACTCCCAGGTATTTGTCCCAAGAACTAAAAGTAGGGACTCAGATATTTGTACACTAATGTTTATAGCAGCATTATTCACAACGGCCAGAAGATGGAAACAACCCAAATGTCCATCAGCAGATGAATGGATAAACAAAATGTGGTATATACATACAGCGGAATATTATAAAGCCATAGAAAGGAATGAAATTCTGACACATGCTACAATATGGATAATGTTTGAAAACTTGCTAAGTGAAATAAGCTAGACACAAAAGAACAAATGTTGTATGATTCCATTTATATGAGGTATCTAGAACAGGAAAATTCAGAGAAAGTAGGTCAGAGGTTACCAGGGTCTGGGAGTAGAGGCAATGGGGAGTTAGACCTTAATGGGTACAGAGTTTCTGTTTGGAATGATGAAAAGGTTTTGGAAGATATGGTGATGGCTGCACAACATTGTGAATGTAATTAAGACCACTGAATTGTATGCTTAAAAATGGTACAAAATGAAAATAAATAATTAATTAATTTAAAAATGGTACAAAATGGCAAATTTTATATTACTTATATTTTACCATAATAAAATTTTTTTAATGGATCAATAACCTAAATATAAGAGCTAAAACTATAAAAATCCTAGGAGAAAACATAGGCATACATCTTCATGACCTTGGATTTGGCAAGGGATTCTTAGATATGAGCATGGGCAACAAAAGTAAAAAACAAATAAATTAGACTTCATCAAAATTAAAAACATTTGTGCATAAAAGGACGTTATCAAGAAAGTGAAAGGACAACCTAAAGAACGGGAGGAAATATTTGTAAGTCATATATCTGATGAGGGTCTAGTATCTATAATATAGAAAGAACTCTTAGAACTCAATAATAAAAAACAAAAAACCCAATTAAAAAACGGGCAAAGGCTTAATAGATATTTCTCCAAAGAAGGCATTCAAATGGCCAACAAGTTCTATGTCATTAGTCAAATGCAAATCAGAACTACAATAACATACCACTCCACATCCACTAGGATGGCTAGAATCAGAAAAACAGAAAATAACAAGAGTTGGTGAAGTTGTAGAGAAACTGGAATTCTCAGGGATTGCTGATAAAAACATGAAATGGTGCAACCACAAAGGAAAAACAATGTGGTCATTCCTCAAAAAGTTAAACATAGAATTACCATATGACTCAGCAATTACTCTCCTAGATATTATACCCAAGAGAACTGAAAACAGATACTCAAACATTGTACATAAATGTTCACAGCAAAAGCCAAAAGGTGAAAACAACCCAATATCTACCAATGAATGAATGGATAAACAAACTGTGGTATATACATACAATGGAGTATTATTTAGACATAAAAATAAATGAAGTATTGATATATGCTACCTGGATGAACCTCAAGAACATGCTAAGTGAAAGAAGCCAGACACAAAAGGTTACATATTGTATGATTCCATTTATATCAAATATTCAGAATAGGCAAACCCATACAAACAGAGAACACTGGTGTTTTACAGGGGCTGGATGGAGGAGGAGTGACGACCTAATGGGTATGAGGTTTCCTTTTGGGGTGATGAAAATGTTTTGGAATGAGATAGAGGTGACGGTCGCACAATACTGTGAATATACTAAATGCAATTAATTGTTCACTTTAAAATGGTTAACTTTATGTTATATAAATTCCACCTCAATTAAAAAAAACTTCTTAAAGTTATTACAGCACTGACTTCATGAACATTTTAATAGGCACTTTGAATACTTCACCAGTATTCCTTCTTTACAATACAAAACTACTTACACAACAGAAATCTAATGAAGCTTAGTCATTTCACATAGAATAACTAGCTTAGGTAACCTATCATTTTAATACAGTTTCTAGAACACATATCCTTTAGAATGAGACGTACCATTACATATGTCTTGGAGCCCTCAGAAGAGAGTCGTTGAGGGGGAACGGCTTCATGACTTAATTCAGCCTTTCCAGAAACCACTGTAGCCACAGGCTTGGATTTAGAGTCGTCATTTTTAATATTATTTTTGGAGTTTTTTCTTTATGAGCAAGAAAAGAAGAAAAAGTTATTATCAGTACAGTGAAGGTTAAAGGTTTCTATATATATGAGGAAATGTGCATACATGTTACACTCCCTCTTAGACGGCTTGTTTTATTTCTTTCTTTCTTTTCTTTTCTTTTTTTTTTTCTTTTTTGGCTGTGCCATGTGGCTTGTGGGATCTTAGTTCCCTGACCAGGGACTGAACCCGGGTCCCCTGCAGTGGAAGCGTGGAGTCCTAACCACTGGACTGCCAGGGAATTCCCATAGAACTGCTCCTTTTATAGATAGGAGTCTTCTAAAAACCAGTGGGTGTTCTACAAAACATTTGACCAGTAATCTCCAAAAACAATCAAGGTCATGAAAAACAAAGAAAGTGAGAAACTGTCAGAGACCCAAGTTGACTAAGGAGAAATGAGGAGTAATATGGTATGCTGGACTGGATCCTGAAGCAGAAAAAGGACACTAGTAGAAAAACTGGTGTAAGCCAAGTGAAGTCTGGATTCAGTCAACATAAGATACTGATGTTGTTTTCTTAGTTCTGACAAATGTACCATGGTAACATAAGATGCTGATAGGAGAAACTGGGTGAGGGTTATACAGAAACTCTGTTCTATCTCTGCAACTCTTCTGTAAATACAATATTATTCTAAAATTTAAAACCTATGAAAACTTGCCTCACAATTAGAAGTACCAGGATAATTTTCATCTTCAAGTTTCACATTTGTAATAATACCACAACTGCTTTGCCAAATTTGAAAGTAAAAATGATTGGTATACTTGGCCTTGACTTATAGAATAAATGTATACAGGAATAATATCCCCAACTGTTTAAGTGTGACATTTTCCAAAGGAGCTAAACCTCTGGAGAATTCAAGGGGAGCATGAAGACCAGAGCTGCAGAAAGCCAAAGGTCTGTAGGTAGGAAATTATAGGCAATGTAAACAAAAATATGACCCTTCTTTATCCCCCAGGGCCTCTCTAGCATTGCCTCCCAAATTTAACATGTCAAAAGACAAGGACTGTGAAGGCCTTGTCCAGCTCTAAGTCTCAGATCCTAGAACAGCTATTTATGAAGGTAGGACCTGAAAGTCAAAGAAGGAATTCTATCCCCTTGAGAAGTTATATGAGTAAAGAGGGAACCTCTTTATTTTTTAAATGTGACTATTATCTTACATAGTATATAATGTAATAATAGGCTTCTTAGATGATCTCTCATTTTAATGATTTCTAAAACCTACATCCTTGGGCTTCCCTGGTGGCACAGTGGTTGAGAGTTCGCCTGCTGATGCAGGGGACACGGGTTCGTGCCCCGGTCCGCAAAGATCCCACATGCTGCGGAGTGGCTAGGCCCGTGAGCCACGGCCGCTAATCCTGCGCGTCCAGAGCCTGTGCTCCGCAACGGGGGAGGCCACAACAGTGAGAGGCCCGCGTACCGCAAATAAATAAATAAAAAAACATACATCCTTTTAAAAGTATCGTACTCAATATGTCTTGGAACTCCCAGAGGAATGTGAAAGTGATTACTCCAATGGTTCTCTAGATTTTTGATTTTAGCAATTAAGCAAATCTCAACACTTGTTCTAATCATGCAATTCTACTTCATGTTTTTAAAAAACTCACCATAAACTCTCATACACGAAAATTATAAAAGCCACCCTCTTTTATTCCATCTATTTAGCTGACCTATTTGCAAGGGAAATATCTTACGCCTTCGTGGCCTCCAAAAACAAGGATATTTGGCGCTTTATGTAAGGCTGCCTTAGGATGCTCCTCACAGAAGGTCTTTCTTCAGGCCTTTTGCTCAGCATGGTTCTTATTATTTCTGCCAGCTCTGGGCTGTAATCTTTCGGCATTGGTGGCAGCTACAAAGAGAAATAATACCATAAGTATGACTAACAGTCTTGTGAAAAGTAAAAGAAGGTAAAGGTTTCCCAAGATATATTTTTTAAATCATTATCCACAGCAGAAAATAACCAGCATATTAGTCTACAGGAAGCGTATCTGGCATCCTGGTTATAATAGCAAGTTGTAAAATTATAAAATATATCCTTCAAACCAGCAGTCCCATTTGAGGACCCTCTCCTTCATAAATAAGAGCATGAGTTCCTAAAGATTTATGTACCAGGATATTCACTGCAGTATTGTTCTTATAATAGTGAACAACTGGAAACAATGTAAATGGCCATTCATAGGGTACTTGTGGAATAGAGTATGGTATATCCTTCTAATAAAATACCAGGCAGCCTTTAAAAAAATACAAGACTTACAGGTACTGACCTGGAAAGATGTCCCTCATTTATTAAGTCAAAAAAGCACGTTGTGTACCAGTGTGTATAGCCTGATTCCATTTCAGTTACTTTTTTAACATACACATCCAGAATTATAAAGACAGGGAAAAGCCAGGAAGGCTATGCACCAAATCATTACCAATGGTTATCTCCAAGGGATGGAAATGGATGGAAACAGGGGAATTTCACCTCTTTCTTGTTTGATTCTTTAAGAAGTAGAATTATGAGCAAATTTTACTTTTTCTGTGTTTTTTTCAAATTAAAAAAATAAATGAGTCTTGGTATAATGTTAAAATCAGTAGGTGATTTACAGCCTTAAAACTTAAAGGTGTGAGGATGCCTGACACTGCAGGGGTCAACTAGCCTCATGAAATTGACACATAAAGTTGGTCACTCTAGCATCTATCATACATAATGCTTTCTGCAATTTTTAACTGGTTACTAGTGATTGTGATGATTATCAAAGGAGCAAGAAGTTCAAACAGAGTAGACTCTTTTTTTTGAAATAAATCTTTAATTTATTTTATTTATTTATTTTTGGCTGTGTTGGGTCTTCGTTGCTGCACCTGGGCCTTCTCTAGTTGCAGTGAGTGGGGGCTACTCTTCGTTGTGGTGCGCGGGCTTCTCATTGTTGTGGCTTCTTTTGTTGCAGAGCACGGGCTCTAGGTGCGCGGGCCTCAGTAGCTGTGGCTCGCGGGCTCTAGAGCACAGGCTCAGTAGTTGTGGCGCACGGGCTTAGTTGCTCCGCGGCATGTGGGATCTTCCCAGACCAGGGCTCGAACCCGTGTCCCTTGCATTGACAGGCGGATTCTTAACCACTGCGCCACCAGGGAAGTCCAAACAGAGTAGACTCATTTTAAACAGGGCTCATTTAACCGCTTAGGTGAAGCTACCAGTAGCCTCAGGGCACCTGCACATCCTGTGTCTATAAGGTACTGGTTTTCAAGAAGCCAATTCTTCAGAGCCATTAAGCCACCCTTATAAATTAATATTAAGAAACGATCAATCCCTTCTCCTCCAGTTCAACCCTCCCCACAGACAGGACCCACCATTCTTAACTATCCACCCAATATGATTACTCCCTTTTCTCAGTAGCTACTTTCAAAGCTGCACTAAAGTAACCTTACTCCAAATATTAAAAACAATTAATTCCAGAATATTCTTTACCTTTCCTTCAATAATCCGATAAACTAAAGAATTCATGTCTTTTGCATTGAAAGCATGCTTCAGGGTGGCCATTTCATAAACACAGCATCCCAGAGCCCAAACATCAGACTAGGAAAAAAAAATAGTAAATGGTTAAATGTCAGAATGCCTTATTTAGTTTTCTTCTTAAAAAAAAAAACATTTTCCTTAAACCAATTCAGAGAGAATTCTTCTAACTTACTATTCTGATGGGTTCTAAAATTATACTGCTGTAGAGACAAGGTGAGCTGGCAAACACAGCCGAATCCTACCTTATAGTTGTAGGGTTTGTTTGAGAACAATTCAGGGCTCATGTAATAGGGTGTGCCAATGAGGGTGCTAGCCATGTCACAGTGGTTCTCAAGCACTCGGGCAATTCCTAGGTCACCCACTTTGATGATGTTTTTTCTTGTTAGGAAGACATTTTGAGTTTTTAGATCTCGGTGAAGGATGTGTTTTTCATGTAAATACTGAAGAGAAATAAAATTTTATTAAATATAAATATTTAATACCTGACTTATTTATACCTGACTTCTTATATACCATCAACAACTGTATAAGTTAAAGAGCCTTATACTCTTAGATGAGCCTTACCTACACATCAAAACACTATTGTTTTATAATCTCTAAATAAAAAGTCTAATTTACAACTTTCCAAAGTAAGAAATTAAGTTCCATGCATTAATTTGCCCAGCTTCCTTCACAATTGTTCCCTGGTGACTTGACAATCATACCGTCTAGAATTATATGGACCCAGTTAAAAAATGTGCTTACAAACTTTCACTGAAGGTAGAAAGACAACTTATACAAGGTCAGATGCACATTCCTCTCAGACTCATGAAATCTTCAGCTTAATAATATTTTCAACTATAACAATATCACTTTTATTGTTTAAATCCTAAGATACATTCTCTAATATCAGAGTGATATTCCATAAACAGTCTCACTTTTGAATATGTGTATATTAAAACACAAACATGTTTCACATTTCTACTCACTCTGCCACAGCAGGGCTAAAGCCCAAAGCCCCACAGTTTAGGCAGATTAATTAGCCCAACCACCTTTCAGTATGATGCAGCTGACCAGCTGATAACAAACATGGACATTCTTTGCTCTTTGTCAATTCAGGGCCCTTAAAATGGATTTTGCTATAAATATTAAATGAATAGAGAATTGTCTTTCCCAGCAATCAGACAAAATCCATGTCTGCTTCAATACAGATATCACTCATTCAGAAACACTTCAGTGCTACAGCAAGAGGAACTAGGTCCACTTCATAAATGGATTTTTAAAAGAATTTTTTTTTTCATTAAGCATTTGGGGAAGCATTTTCCTAAAATCCACCAAGCATCTCTCTGTCACCTTGGAGCAAGTGGGATGCTATGAGTCCTGACAGTACCTGCAGAGCCATAGCGATCTGAACAAACCATTCCACCACCTGACTCTCGGACAGAAGCCTCCCCTTCTGCTCTTTGAGCTTTCGGTACAGATCACCTCCTTCGCAGAAGCCCATGACGATGTACAGCAGACCATCCCCTCCCTCCCACGACTCCTTGTAGGTGACAATATTGGGATGCTTCAACTGAGACAAGAGCTGAGCTTCCTGTTCAGCAGCTTGCCGCTCTCGGCTGGAGGCATTTCGGAGGTTCAGCTTTTTGATGACATACTACAAAAAAAACACATGTTTTTACAATATGCAAACAAACATACAGTATTATAGATTCAAAAGTATTTAAGGATTATCCTGAGTGTCCTCAAAACCAACCTTCTGGAGACTGCCACATAACCTATTCATTTTGTTATTCACAAAGCACAAAACTGGGAAAAAGACTTGCTACCACTAATGATACTTTTTACAAGTTAGATTTATAGCAGGGTAGGGGGTCACAAAAAAATTATACTTTCCATCTGCATTTTACAATTTCATTAATGGCTAAAAATGAGTCAATGTTAACATACCACTGAATTAACCAAAAAATCTGTGGTAGAGATTCTTTAACCTCTAAGCTCCCCCTACAAAGGTGCATACAATATGACTTGAATATACATCTGCAGACAGAATGGGTCTGTGGATTCCATTACATACTCAAAGGGATCCAAGGCCCAATAAGGCTAAACATCACCTATCCTCAACATCCAAAATTATTCTCACTTAAAAGAAAAACAAAACAACGTCCTCCAACACCTAATACATTGCCCTCAACCAACTGACACACCAAACAATTCATTATTCAACAAACACAATCATAAATGTGTTTTGTAACAAAGCATAAATGTGCTTTGTAAAATGTAAACAAACTACTGCTGAAATGTGAGGGGTTATTATTACAGCGAGTACCCCATCCTCAGCTCAAAAAAATCCCCCCTCCCCAATGACCACTGAATAAATCTCTTATGTCTGAGCTTGTGTTCCAGGCAGTGACCAGCACCTGAGACAAGGCAGAAGAGGCAAGAGGACCTTATACTTATGGGGCCATCTCCTCTCAGTTTGTCTGGGGCAGTCCCATTGTCCTGGTGTAATTATAAATAGTGTCTCCTTTCAGTTTCCAAATTGTCCCAGTTGGTACATTATATGGTTTATAAACCATATTTACGAAATGGTTCATTATCCTGAGGCTAATGGGATAAAGTGCAACATTAGAGGCACGTTTTAGAAAGATCACTGAGACTGCAATGAAAGTGATGAATTGGAGAAGGGCAAGTCATGTGGCAGGGAGGACAAGCGGGAGGCCATGGCCACAGCTTAGCTAGAGACAATGGTGTCCTGGATGGGGGAGGTACCCATGGAGATGAAGAAGAGGCCAGTTGGCTTAGTGGACAGACGAATAAGGGGGTGGGAGTGGGGGAAGGTAAGGGGGGGAGCCCAGAACGACTCCCAGGTGTCCAGCTTGGGCAACTGGCTGGTTGGTGGTGCTACTCCCTGAAATGGGGACCGTGAGAGGAGGTTTGGAGGGAAGGTGACGAGCTGAGTTTTGAGCGAGTCCAGAGGTCTCCAGGTCAGACGGGGTATGGGGCCCTTCACTGAAGGAGGAATACTTGCCAGGCGCCGCCGTTAGGTCCTGGGAGTGTACGCTCTCATGGAACGGAGGAGAGTTGGGGGAAAGTGTGCAGATTAAGCACACCGATTACGACTACAAAGAGAATGCCAGGGAGTTCGGGGCGCATATGACAGGAAGGCCTGGCCTAGTCTTGATGGTCTGGGACGATTTCCCAGAAGAAGTGCCATCTGAGGCGCGTCCCCTTCAGAATATCTGGGCCCAGCCCTTGGACGGCGCCCTCGGCGATCCCCTGCCTGCTCCCATCCCCTGCCGGGCCCCAGCTCCGCCGACCTGCCTGCCGTCCCGTCGGTGCCTCACGAGCGTCACCTCCCCGTAGCTGCCCCTGCCCACGACACGCAGGTAGCAGTAGGCGGTCAGGGGCATGATCCCGGAGCGGGCCCACAGTCGGGATGCGGCGGCAGCGGCGGGGGGCGCGGCGAGCGGCGGCGGGAGACCCCGCTCATTCCAGAGAGGAAGTGGTGCCGGCGGCGGCTGAGGCGGCCCTGCCAGGGCGCCAGCGCAGAGGCCCGACCCAGAGCGACGCCGCTGCCATAGCGATCCCCACAGGGGCTGCCCTGCGCATGCTCCGTGGCCCGGAGGACCCACCACAGAGCCGAGGCGACAGGCGGCCAGAGCGACCACGCCGGGCCTGCGCGCGCACCCTCGGCCTCACTTCCAAGGCCGGAACTTGCGGGTTTCCCGCAACAATAGACTCATGAACGCTTCCACTTACTGAGCGCTTACTTGTTCTTAGTGCTTCGCACGTATTCGCTTCCCAAATATTTACCGACTGCTTAGCCTGTGCCTGGCCGAAAAAGTCCCTGCCCTCCGGGAGCTCACATTCTAATGGGGGACTGGGGACAGACTAGATTCTACAAGTAACATTTGTTATATTTATCATATGGTGGTTAATGTATGCATGCAGCAATCCATCTTATTTTTCATGCATTGCAAGACGAATTGAAGATATCAGTGCCCTTCACCCCTAAACAATTCAGCTTGCATATTGAGAACTGCAAAAACTCTCAGGACTCCATTCAAACCCCTGCACTAAGTGACTTGACCAAATTTTGGCATGGTTTTTAACAGCTTAAGGCAGTGTCCCCGGAGAACCTGCCCACCTTAAATGGCCTGCCTGTGAAAGCTCAAAACTGCCAAAAGATTTATCGTTTGATCCAGCCAACACCTCCCTTTCCTAGGACATATACCTAAAAAGCTTAAAATTATAAATCCAATGGGACGGGGGTGGGGGGGTTGTATTCCTACAACCCCAGAATGTCTTTCTTAAGGTCATGAAATCCATCCCATTGAAATGTAAGGTTTCTTGGCCTATATCCAAGAACCAATTTTTGCCCAGTTTGGGGGGGGGGTGGAGTTGATATTGCCCCTGTTGAGAATGCATAATATAGAGCATACTATTGGGGTTTTTTAAATATAAATTTATTTTTATTTATTTATTTTTGGCTGCATTGGGTCTTTGTTGCTACGCGGGCTTTCTCTAGTTATGGCAAGCAGGGGCTTCTCATTGCAGTAGCTTCTCTTGTTGCGGAGCACAGGCTCTAGGTGCGTGGGCTTCAGTACTTGTGGCACACGGGCTCAGTCACTGTGGCTCACGGGGTCTAGAGCGCAGGCTCAGTAGCTGTGGCACATGGGGTTAGTTGCTCTGCGGCATGTGGAATCTTACCAGACCAGGGATCGAACCTGTGTCCCCTGCAGTGGCAGGTGGATTCTTAACCACTGCACCACCAGGGAAATCCATCTACTTTCTTCACCTACTTTTCATACACAGTTGTTTCCTTTCACCCTTATTATTTCTAAGTAGTTTCAATTACATATCTTAATTAGAATTCTTAACCCTTAGAATACTTAATTTCTAGTGAAAACTAAGAAGTGAGTAATCGTGGACAGTCTCTTACACTAGCATTCTATGGATTGGCAGAGAGAAATATATTCCATAATTTCTAGGAGTACATCTTCCTCATATTAAATTTTCCAATGTAGCAGAAAAGATTTTTACTAATACACCTAAATATATTTAGGGTCTTTTTTTTTTTTTGTATAAGGAAACCAAAAGTGGATTAACTTATGTTCAGTGATTAATGTTTCAGTATTTTATTTTATTTGAAAATGATCTAAATATTTAATAAATGTCCATTATTAACTTTAACTTATTTAAGTTAAATAATGGAAACTATTTAAGTAGACATGCCATAAAATAAAATAATTGCTGAAGTGTTTTACCTAAAGACTCTTTTTTGTGTGTGTGTGATACGCGGGCCTCTCACTGTTGTGGCCTCTCCCGTTGCGGAGCACAGGCTCCGTACGCGCAGGCTCAGCGGCCATGGCTCACAGGCCCAGCTACTCCGCGGCATGTGGGATCTTTGCGGACCGGGGCACGAACCCGTGTCCCCTGCATCGGCAGGCGGACTCTCAGCCACTGCGCCACCAGGGAAGCCCTACCTAAAGACTCCTATCCCATTTACGTCTATTTAATTCACTTGTTCTTTTTTTTAAAAAAAACTATTTATTTATTTGGCTGCGTTGGATCTTAGTTGCGGCAAACGGGATCTTTCATTGTGGGGTGCAGGCTTCTCTCTACTTGTGGCGCACAGGCTCCAGAGCACGCAGGCTTAGTTGCCCCGCAGCATGTGGGATCTTAGTTCTCCAACCAGGGATCGAACCAGCATCCCCTGCATTGCAAGACAGATTCTTAACCACTGGACCACCAGGGAAGTCCCAATTCACTTGTTCTTAACATGAAAATTTCATCATACCAAGTTGTTTTTCTTGCTAACAAATTTGGTAACAGAAACAACATGAACTTATTTAGCTAGTGTACTCAGGTGGAATAAAAGTTGTATGTCTTGGGCTTCCCTGGTGGCGCAGTGGTTGGGAGTCCGCCTGCCCATGGGGGGGACGCGGGTTGGTGCCCCGGTTCGGGAGGATCCCACGTGCCGCGGAGTGGCTGAGCCCGTGGGCCATGGCCCCTGAGCCTGCGTGTCCCGAGCCTGTGCTCCGCGGCGGGAGGGGCCACAGCGGTGGGAGGCCCGCGTACCGCAAAAAAAAAAAAAAAAAAAAAGAAAAGTTGTATGTCTGCATTATTTTTAATGATAACTCTGAAGACATACCTATTTTAATTAAACCAACAAACTTAAACTAGCTTTTATTTACCAAAGATTACCTCACATCACATGAACTTGAAAAACATTTGGGTTAGTTTTTATATTTCTGAGAGTTTTAGGAATCCTTAATTCATATAAGTGCTGTGGACAGGGAATTTTGCCTGCCATTCCAGTGAACAATGTTGCCCACCATCCCAGTTCTACAAGGATCCAGCCGTTAGCTACAGCAGCCCACAGTGCTCCCTGAGGGTAATTCAGGATGGGGAAAAACAGGAGGCATTCTGCCCTTTGGATATTGGCATTAGATAGTTAAGGTGCATTTCTAAGACATAATTTCTATGAACCCAGATTCTTGCACCTTCCCATACGTAGGAAAGCACTCCAATCATTGACCTGAGGCATCTGTTCCTTGTGATTAGCAATAATCTTTTGATGTTCTGAGGCAGGAGATAGATGGGCTCCAGGTTAGACATTTACAGCCAGCCTCCTGTTTACACTTCCAGATAGAAATAACAACAGGAACAGGGTAAATAGCTGGACTTTGCCTCTAGTGACCTAGAGATTGTCATGCTGAGTGAAGTAAGTCAGACACAGAAAGACAAACATCATATGATATTGCTTATATGTGGAATCTAAAAAAAAAGGGTATAAATGAACTTACTTACAAAACAGAAGTAGAGTCATGGATGTAGAAAACAAACTTATGGTTACCAGGGGATGAGGGGGGGAGGGGAGGGATAAATTTAGAGATTGGGACTGACATATACACACTACTATATATAAAATAGATAATTAATAAGAACCTGCTGTATAGCACAGAGAACTCTACTCAATACTCTGTAATGGCCTATATGGGAAAAGAATGTAAAAAAAAAAAAAGAGTTCATATATGCATATGTATAACTGATTCATTTTGCTCTTTGCTGTACACCTGAAACTAACACAACATTGTAAATCAGCTATACTCCAACAAAAATTAAAAAACAAAACAAAACAGTAATGGCAGGGCCAGAGAAGAGTGAGTCTTGCCCAGATAAAAGATAAAGAGGGACTTCCCTGGTGGTCCAGTGGGTAAGACTCTGCACTCCCAATGCCGGGGGCCTGGGTTCAATCCCTGGTCCGGGAACTAGATCCCGCATACATGCCACTACTGAGAGTTCACATGTGGCAACTAAGAAGTCTGCATGCTGCAACTAAGAAGCCTGCATGCCACAACTGAGTCCACGTGCCACAACTAAAGATCCCTCAGAACTCAACAAAGATCCTGCACCACAACTAAGACCCAGCGCAGCCAAAAAAAAAAAAAAAGTCCACATATTTCTCATTCTCAAGGTCAAGGAGACCTCCCTGACTACACATGCGCAGAAAGGCTCCTCAGGGATTAAAAAGGGACAGGGGGCTTCCCTGGTGGTGCAGTGGTTGAGAGTCCGCCTGCCGATGCGGGGGACACGGGTTCGTGCCCCAGTCCGGGAAGATCCCACATGCCGCAGAGCGGCTAGGCCCGTGAGCCATGGCCGCTGAGCCTGCACATCCGGAGCCTGTGCTCCGCAACGGGAGAGGCCACAACAGTAAGAGGCCTGTGTACCGCAAAGAAAAAAAAAAAAAAAAAAAAGGGAGGGGGCACCACCCCATAGTAGATGATGTTGTTACTGAGTCCAAGCTCGCTCTGCTCACCGGACAACAGCCCAATAAATCGGGAGATGAGGTGTTGAGGCAAGGAATAGCGACTTTATTCGGAAAGCTGGAGGACTGAGAAGATGGCAGACAAGTGTACCCAAAAAAACCGTCTTATCTGGGTCTGGATGCCAGGTTCTTTTATAGAACAGAGAAGGGGAAGAGGTGAGGAAGTAAAGTAACAAAAAGCAAAGGTTAAAGTAAAAGAAACAGATGCAACATGGAGTCAGGATTTGCTCTTCCCTGTTACGATGTCAACCTACCCATAGGCCTCTTCACTAGACTCCATCTTGGCTAAGAGATGCAAACGCACACAGGGGAGGATCCTGAGATAAACCAAATATGGACTCAGAGCGGGGCAAAGCAAGATGATTGACCAGAGGAAACCCGGAAGAAATGCCCCAAACTACCATGGAGGCACGACTCTCCCTCTCTGAGCCTGCCCATGTGTGTCTATTCACATGTGCTCTTTTTCCTCCTAATAAACACTACTTGTTTCACTACTTTCCATCTCCTTGTGGAAATTCATTTCTACAAAGCCAGTGGGCCAGGGCCTTGTCACTGGCCACTGGCCCTCATGGTCTAGTGGCTAGGATTCAGCTCTTTCACTGCCGTGGCCTGACTTCAATCTCTGGCTGGGGAACCAAGACCCTGCTTCAAGCCGCTGCTGGACGAGGCCACCAGAGATCAGTTCGACTACATGTCTTTTTTCCAGCAGAATATGTCAGTGTATCCTGGCTCCTCCCTTACCTCTTCAGGACAGTTCCTCAGA